ACCCGTGAAGCCCAGGCTTTGATTCTTGCAAGTTGCAAGAGTATAAAATGTTCAGTTACACCCGAACTTAACTCCTTCTTACTTTTTTCACTGAAAATTGGACTCCACGGATGGACCATCTGAGACATAGCCGCGGCAAACATTTGAAAGAGATATTATTAAAAAAATAAATACCAAAGAATGTTCTTTCGAATGATAATAAACCTTCTCGAATAATTAAAATTTTTTTCCTTAAAAAAGTGAGGGACAACCCACATATATTTATATAAATGAACAGGATGACGAGACGTGTGTAAATCCGGGTTATTGTCTGTCCGTCCGTGCTACTTGTAACTTGAAAACATAAGATATCTTGATGAAACTTGGTACACATGTTCCTTGGAAAAAAAGTAAGAACGAGTTTGTAGATGGGCGTAATCGGACCACTTTTGATTGTATTTTATTAACGATTTAATCGAATAATGGATGTTTAATTCTTTCACAACATTTTTTAATATCAAAATTGCCAACCCGTGAAGCCCAGGCTTTGATTCTTGCAAGTTGCAAGAGTATAAAATGTTCAGTTACACCCGAACTTAACTCCTTCTTACTTTTTTCACAATATTTTTGAAATATAATGCATGCAATTAAAAAAGATACATAATAAAAAAAATTTAACACTTTAGCTTTAAGTTACTGCCGCTGTAGCTGGGGTCAAATTATTGAATCGTATATGTGAAAGCAACGGCTTAAGTTAATAAACACATAAAATTTCATTACCTGTCAGCACTTGCACCTGAACTATTGCAGTGAAGACTTTACCTATAGAACATGAATAGTTTCCACTATCCATAAGCTTAGCATCTGGTATTGAAACTCGACTAATAAGCCATTTTTCCGAGCTGCTGCAAATAAGAGAAATTGGGTGGTATAATCATAGCAAAACAATATTCTGTATACGTTCTCATAATAATCTATATAGTGGACATGGTAAAAATTGTGTTGTAATATGGTCTACCTCCTACTAGCTAGTACTGCTTGAAACTACGAAGCTACTGTTCTAAAGAAAATAACACCAGATGAAAATTTTTTTCAGTCAATTTTTCACGAGTGACTAACCTCTAATTCCCATATAAGGCTCGTTTTAATATCAAATAAGCATAAAGTTAATAAAAGCAATTCTTTTTTTCCTCAGAAACAATTATGATTCGTTCTTTCGCTTAATACATCTAATATCTGTATATCGCTAGTTTGCACAAAAACTGCAAAAGATCGGTTTATATTTCTCCATGGTCTCAATAAAATATATGAACAAAAAATTATGGGCTAACTGTGTAAGTTTTTCCTAAATTTTTCAAAAATCTTTTTTTTGACTTTTGCTTTTTTTTGGAATATTATAATCCTCCGCTAGTTCTAACCTATCCAATAATATTGTGAATACTATTTACAATATGACGATATATTGTACCGTTAACTGCAAGGTGACTAATAAAAAATATTGGTCCACACTTTCTCTTATATTGAATATCGAAATCTTCGCTTAACCCAAAGGTAGGTATTTACTAGATTCCCGAATGGAATATTTATTTTACCTTGATCGTTTGATAGTCGTAAATGGTAATACTGCATCACCCTTCGTCCAAAAAATCATATTGCTGAATGGTTTTTCTAAAGCGAGGCCCGACATCTTGACATTACTATGATTGCTGGTCGATACTAACTCATTGTATCCGGAACCCAACCTATTGCCTCCTATTTGACTTTTATTTGGGTTTCCTTTAGTTTGATTTTGCTCGAAGGGTTGTAATGATTTAGCAATTTTAATATTCTCCTTGATTAAAAAACTTCGCGATACTTGGCAGTAAAGGTCGATGGTGCTTCCAGTTTTGTAATATCGATCACTTACTTCTCGTTCCTGCTCATCTATTAAACGTAAGGGAGGTTCTGTAAGATTAAATTAAATCAATATTTAAATTATCATATCTTCGGAAACAAATAAACAGCGTTATCTTTTTATGGTATGTATATAAAAGAGAAAGTTTGTATATATGTTCCTTATAAACTCCGAAACGGCTAGACCGATTGCTTTGAACTTTTCGGACGATCTTTAGGATAGTCCAGCGGGTGTTGCTGTAAAGTTTGATGGCGAACGAAATGTCATTGAAATTGTTTCTTACTGGTGATATGCTATTTTTTTACTCTTGCAACTTGTTGCTACAGAGTATAATAGCTTTGTTCACCTAACGGATGTTTGTATAACCTAAAACTAATCGAGATAGGTATAGAGTTTTATATATGTATGTATATAAATGATCTGAATAACGAGACGAGTTTAAATTCGAATGACTGTCTGCCTGTCCGTCTGTGCAAGCGATAACTTGAGTACAAATTAAGATATCTTATTGAAACTTGGTATACTATACTTGGTATGTTTCTTGGCCAAAAATTGAGTATAAGTTCGCAGATGTGCGGAATCGGATTGCTGCCACGTCCAAAAACGCCATTAACCGGAAACCTATAAATTGCTATAACTAAACCGCAAATTAAAATACAAAACCGTAGTTTGGTACAATAAATCTCAATAATGATGCAATTTGAAAATTTTAGTGGTCGTGGCCCCGACGCTAATAGGTTTAATGCATATATCTCCCAAACTATTTACCTATATCACTCAAATTTGCAGAGGGTATATCATTTAGACACCTCTTATGACAGCAGGGAAACAGGTGACATCGAATGATAACCACGCCCACTTCCCATATAAGATTTTTTGTCAAAAACTACTCAAACTGCGATAAATCAATAACGAAATGCGCCAAAGTCGTTAAATTTTATACCCGAGAAATCACATATCTCCGAACGTACTGTTAGAGTGCGATGTTACAGTGCGAAAAATGTTACTTCTCTTAAAACACAAATTTCCAGTATATAAATTAAGTACTACCATAATAAATATATAGCGATAAAAATTTTCATGAATATTGTGTAAGGCATGCCACCTCAATAAGCGAGATATAGGTATAATTGAAATTCGTGGAAAATATTTTTTTTTAATATCCTTGTGGCAAAAATAGTTTGAATCGATTCAATACTTCCCTTAGCCCCTATATACATAGTATACAGATTTTCGAACTTTATACCACATATATCGGAGAATGTGCTAGTTAGTTTAATGAAATTGAGAAAGCGTGGTTTTCTAAAAACGTGTATCTTTGTGAATGAAATAGAAAAGTTGAAGGTATGGTTGATTTTACTTCATATATATTATATGTTTATATTTACATATTTATTAAAAGGATTTAAAATAAGTCATCAAGGACATAAAAAATAATCCCCAGACATACAAAATAATTACTTATATCTGAATTGGCTCGGTAATCGGGCAGCAAAAAATGCCAAAATTAAAGTTCGATAATAATATTTTACAGCTATTTATGTTAGCTATATATGTTTACTTATCAAGAGCGTCATATTTGATACAAGGCTTAATTAAGACAGTACAGCCAGCAAGAACCCTGTTAATTGGATGATTAGAGGCGATTACTTGTATATCATAATTTTAAATACTCTTGCGACATATTGCTACAGAGTATAATAATTTTGTTCACCTAACGGTTATTTGTATCATCTAAAAATAATCGAGTTAGATATAGGGTTATGTATTTATAAATGATCAGGATGACAAGACCAGTTGAAATCCGGATGAGTGTCTGTCCGTCCGTCCGTCTGTCCGTTCAAGCTATAAGTAAGAAAAAAATTGAGATATCGCAATAAAATTTTAGGCGTATTCCTTGGCAAAAAAGTAAGGATGAGTACGTAGATGGGCGTAATCGGTCCACTGCCACGCTCACAAAACGCCATTAATCGAAAACATATAAAATGCCATAGCTAAGCACTAAATTAAGAAAAAGGCATCTGTGAGCAAAAATATTTTAAAAAATGTGCTAGACACCGCCCACTAAGAAGTTTAATATACATATCTCCTAAACCACTTAAGCTATATTACTCAAATTCGCTTAAGACAAATCTTCATATAACTCCTACCGACGGTGTAAAATTGATGAAATCGGATTATAACCACGCCCTCTCCCCATATAACGGTTTTGTTAAAAACTACTAATACCGAGATGGTATAAGAAGGCTCTATAGGAACCTGTGTCAAATTTGACGATGGGAGGCAGCGCCTACATTTAGGGGAAATCCATATTTCGGGACTTACTGAACCGCTTTTAACCATAACCTGTATGTAATATTACCCTGTAATTCCTACAATAAAGTGTGAAAATAGGCGAAATCAGACAAAAAACCACGCCTTCTTCCCTTATAACACTACTTTAAATTGTATCTAATTATTTCATTTTCCAGTATACAAATCAATAATTAATCAATGTATTCGGATAAAACTTTGCCCAAATAGTGCCTTCAAGGTATTTAATCTTACGCCAAAAATTGTCAAAATCGAACCTTAACTCTTGAGGAATCCAGACGCCAAATATCAAAGTTTCCGGAAAATGTAAATAAACCGAAAAAATTGTAATCTTCATAAATATTTATTTTGTCGCCTTCGAAATATGCTCCTTCTTTAGCGATACATATATGCCAACTCTTTTCCCAATCATCGAAACATGCCTTGTAGGTGCTGTCCGGGATCTCCTTCAGGTCCCTCTGCGATTTTTCTTTTACGGCCTCAATCGAGTCGAAACAGGTTCCACGGAGTGATAACTTGAGTTTTGGAAACAAAAAAGTTCGCATGGGGTCAAATCCGGTGAATACGGTAGTTGATCGATGGTATTGAATGAGTTTTTGGTATTAAAATCGTACACAATTACAGCTTGCTGCTGTCTTTTTGCAAAAAGTTCAGCTCTTTTGGAACAAGTCGAGCATTGAGGCGTCGCATGCCAAAATTAGCGGTCTAAATCAAACGGTAAAGGCTTTGTACCAGTCGCAGACTTGGGTTTTCGATAGAATATATTCCCCATAAGACTTTTTTAACATTCGCAACGATTCCGCACAAGAAATTTGGTTCGAAATGCATAATTTGATGCAAATTTTATGTTAAATATTTTTTTCCATTGTAAAAATCGCAAAACCCTACTAAGTCCAACAGCTGGTGCAAAAAAATTGGCTGACAGATTGCGCTCATTTTTGGCATAGTAATAAGGGACAGTGGTAAGAACTTCTTAAAAAAATGTGCTGAAAAATATTTTCGGAATTTTCTGGTCACAACGTAAATTTATAAAATTGCCTTAAAATAAGTTGTCAAGTTACCTGAGCAATGTCAACAATTAATGCAATCAGCCATTCCATTTTTATGCCCCTAATGATTTTAGTATAATTTCCGCTGACGATAAGTAAAATTTAGTAATAAAACTAAGTGAGTTTATAACCTTCAAAATAAGGTAATATTATACAAAATTTGATTTTAATCCATTCAACATTTCGTCGAAAAATGAAGTTGAATCTTTTCGCTACATTTCTTAATATAAAGTTCTGCCAACACATAAGTATTTCGCTGGTTTGATCATTGCAAGTTGGAAGAGTATGAACTGTTCGGTTACACCCTTCCTTACTTGTTTGATACTAATTTCTGCCATTTTCACTTATTTACTTGGTGTTGCTATAATTGTTTATTTTTTACTGTATTTGTTTGTTTAATTTTTTTCTCTTTGACAGTTTGTAGTCTTAAAATCAACTGTCATAAAACAAAATGTGACAGGGAGATTTAGATTAGACTCAAATCACCTCGGTGACGAGATTAACAGCTTTAATCTTCTGATTAGATGTCGGTTGGAACATGGTATAAGCTAAGGAAGTTTTGTTGTTTTTAGTTGTTGTTTGGTATAAATGTTTTTTCTCTTTTTTATTGTTTGCAAAAACCACATTGTTTCGGACGGGTTGTTGGTATACAACACAGCCTTTGTAATTCGCTATAGGGTCTTCGGTACTTCATTGTTATACTCTTAAATAAAACGGTTGAAAAGTATTCTGCTTTTAACAATAGGCTCGTTTCTTGCTTTGTGTCTTAATAAAGTAATATTTTTAATTAAAGCTGTGGAAAAGAGATTATCTTTTATCACAACTCTATATGACCGCTCCTGTTTAGGTTGATAAGTGCGAAAACACACCTTAATACTGTCTAAATATTTTACAGTTTTTCTGTAGTCAATATTATTTATCATAATTCGGATTTGTCCATCACTTAGCGATTTATATCAAAAATCTTTTTGCCAATTACACTTGAAATAGAGTTTATCTTTTTTTTTGTTGCTTTGGATCGTGCTGAATGTGCTGACTCGTCCTCACCAGCTCCAGCAAGATATCGTCATCATCCTATGTGATGTCGATATATATTTGGGTGTATTAGAATTTGTTAATTTTTTAAAGGAGTTTAGGAGACGCATTGTTTGCACGCTTTCCACTTTTCTCCCCTTGATTTTACAATACTATTCAGGTAGGTTGTTAGTCAATATTAAATTTTTCCTTTTATATTTTATTTATGCTTATGAGTTTTAACTAATTACATACACTCTCACTAATATAGATAATACACTTATGGTACATGGTGGCTCTCGAATCGTGCTAGAAAAACAAAACGTAATAACTTTTTATTGATCAATGCATTACATTTTTTTTGTATAGCAAACTTTATTTTATTTTCTATAATTAATTATTTTTAAAAATTATGAACCGTAAATGACCTTAATGCTCAGCCACGTATATGGGAAACTTAATTAGAAATTTATTCATTATCGTTTTAGTGGACTTCTTCAATTCAGTCAGATTTCTGAGTTTTGTTTTGTACATCTCTTGTTTGGTATAACACCATAAAAAAGTCTGTTGCAGTCAGATTCGGTGACCTTGGGGGCCAGCGGAAAGTGGAGTTTCTTGATATTAATTTGTTTTCAAATTTTCATTGGAGCTCCGCAATAACCGGTCTGGCTATGTGTGCAGTGACTCCATCTTGCTGGAACCAAACGCTATTGAAAGGGATACGTTTTCGTAGCAGTTGTGAGTAAAAAAACTCATTCATCATCATTAAATAACGGTGTCCATTGACAGTTACTGTTACACCGTTTTCTTCAATTCAATCGCGATTGTTTCTTGAACACGAACATACGGATCTCGATGGTACGGTCTTCTTGCGATACTTTCAGAATCGGCAAACATGTTTACCCCCCTCTTTTGGCCGGAAATAAAGGACTGCTAAGCATGGTACCACTGCACTCTCCAAACCCTATATTTGGTATCACAAGCATTCATCTTAAAAAAACTTACTCACACAAAAAAAAAGTTATTACGCTTTGTTTTTTTAGCACAATTCGTAAGCCACCTTGTATAACACGTCAGGTTCAACCACAGCCAATTAACTACAATATTTGATTAATTATTAATTCAATTACGGTTTATTATCATCTTACAATTCAATCAAACTTCAAATTAGTTTGAAGAACCAATAAATATATATAAAGTTGTTACACAAAAAAACATTTCTTTCTAAATTCAGTTACAAAAGATCGCAGAATTTATTGAAGTGTCTATTATTTGTGCTATAACAAAATATTTTGTGTAACTGCGTAAAGAACAGCTGATCAACTAATGATGGTCTAAAAGTGCATGTTGATGCCTACTCACGGCGCCCTAATATTATATGTAGTTTAGTTTTTGTAAGTTCAAACTATATATCAGCTATTCATTATGTGGGGTAGTGTACCTGCGGACACTTCGTAATATGGATCTCTAAATGGAATGGATTTTAGCCGAAAAGAAGGAGGAGGTCCGTCATTGTCAGTAGGATATAATTAAAAGAAGTGAGGTTGAAGTATATAATATACGGCATTGTGTAATGCTTTTACGACATTAGCTTCAATGTTAGTCGTAGAGCGAATGGAACGGCTCACCAAAAGAGCTGGGACTCACAGATCTCAAGCTCTTAGATTAAGTAAGAATCTGATGTCAACTAATAAACAAACAAAGGTTCCAGCAATAATCGGCTATTATAGAACCGTTTTCATCGAAGGGTGGAGAGGAAATGTAAATGGACTGCAAATTGATAATTATTAAGTTCTTCATTCAGCGTGAACTAGGCTGAAGAAGTGAGCAAATACATTTTATATAGTCACCTTGAGTCTTTAAATGCCAAATTAAGACTAAAATAAAATATAGGTTACGGTCAGAATATTCGCAGTAAGACAGAAAGATGACTAATGAAATAATTTTCCTACTGAGGTTTTGAGTTTCTAATGTACAGTCACTGGAGTTATTGTAAAAACGTATCTGCGTGAGGCATATACATATTATATATGTACGTACATTTATGTATGCATTTATCAATTAACAAAGCTATATAATCCCTTTAGGAATAAATCGTTAAATTAGTGAAGTCATTCCTTTGTTCCATTGAAGAAGTATGTAGCCATTTTTTAAAACATGTTACCAGTGAAACAAAAACGACTGGAGTCTTTACAAGGCAAAAGGCAAACAAAAAGCTCTTTGTATGCAAAGCAAACGGGCATACAATGGACACAACGGTTTCTTTTAAACTCTAACAGGTACATACATACATATGTAGTATGCCCCTCCTCCCGTAGTACTGTGAAATTGGTTTGGTATTGCCAGCATTTCCGAAGAATATTCAGTTACCGCTGTATCCACGTAAGTGGGATTGCATGTGTGAGTGGGCGTACTTACCTAATATGGTTAGATTTGTTGTGAAGACTCGCGGTGGATGCGTAGACACTTGACACATATAGACGCCGGCATCCTCTCTCTGTATGGGATTAATGAGCAGCCGCCAATTGTTTGGATACTGAAATTTGACGTGAATTCTTGGGTCTCCGCTGTACGTTATATTGCCAACAGTTAGTAAGGAGACTTTTTCTGTTGTTCGTCTCACCCACATTACCTGAAAAGAGGACATGAAGACACGTATGTATGTATATTCAATATTAGCACTCAGTACGTGCTTACACAATAAAGACTTTTCGGAATTGGCCTTTGTTGATTTAAATTCACACAAACTATTTTGAAAATTGATGATAAGAACCAAAAACAGGAACATACTTGCACGTTTAAGGTATACTCACATTTTTCATGGTTAAACGAAATTTTTTGTTGGTAATAAGCAGTGGCTTCAAAACATAATTATATACCATATGAATACGGAAAGGCATGGCTCGACTTTGTTCATTTTGGCATTGATATTTTTGCAATTTTTAGCTTATTATTTTATAGAAATGCTTTCTTCACTAACTATGTGAATGCTAAAAAGCCTACCAGCGGACAACAATATTATGGGTATATGCACCCAGGAGAATGAAGCGATCGATATAGTATTTTGTCTTCTTTGATGGCTGAATCATCCGTTTTTGTTTTTGTTTCGGGTCGGCTTTAGAATAGCATCCCGTGGGGAATAAAATGGGTGTACGCGGTTAGAGGATGATCTCCAGATCAAGAATATATATAGATATAGCCGCGGGAAACTTATAATTTCTTCTATTTATTCAAGCAATAACAAAACGATTGCATATTGACAAATAACCAGTGTTACGATACTAATATATTTTGCAAGCGATCAAAAATAAAACAAAAAGAAAAATTATACGTCAAACAACATACAGGTATCATAATCGGTGATGGTCAACTTTCCTTGTTATTGTATTTACGTTAACACCTGATGTCGACGGCCTTACCTCACGGTGCTCAAAAGCACAATGTATCAATACATTGCGTTGAAAAGTGCCCCAAACAATACGAGCTATTTGCAAGTATTTATTATGATACCAATCGGAAGTGTGGAAGGGACACCTTTTCCACCTTGGTTGGGTTTGAGGCCGAACTGGTGACATTTGTCGCTTGAACTTCAAATGCCTTTTTATTTGGAATCTCATTTAAAGTCTATAATATCAGTTCAATATAAGTATTATAGCACTATTTCTGACATAACTGTGCTGAAATTTCGTGGCAAAGCTTAATAACAGTCATAGTGCATTTGAATATTAGTCGCCTCTTACGACAAGCATACCTTACGTGGGTAAATTCTAACCCCTGCCCGCAGGGGAAATCGGTGATGGACAACGTCCGGTGCGTTTTACGCGAGTACCTGCCGTCGACGACCTTACCTCACGGTGCTCCAAAGCATAACGTATCAAAACAATGCGTTTATAAGCGCCACAAATAATACGAACTATTTGCAAGTATTAATTGGTTACCAGTGGCTAGTAGGTAGGATTCGAGGTCGACCTAAAACCTCTTCCGTTTTCGCTTGTGCAACTTCTTTTTTGAACTGAAAATTCAGTTCTTCCAGCATTTAGGTTTAAGCCACAGCCACCACGATACTCTCCAAAGAATCGAACCCAATGAGCAGATTGAACCGAAGTCCAAGAGCATTCTGCTCCCCGAGGTACCAGAGTTGAGTCTCCGGTAAGACTGTGTAGCCGAAGCTGCTGCCAGTTGAGCTCCGCCTAACTCAATGACTGGTGACATTTGTCGCTTGAAGTTCAAATGTCTTTTTATTTGGAATCTCATTTAAAATCTATAATATCAGTTCAAGCTGAATATTATAGCACTATTTTTGACATCATTTACTATGCTGATATTTCCTACCCGCAGGGAGAATCGGTGATGGATAGTAAAATATCTTTCGGTACTTCCCTCCTCCTGCGAAACTACGGAGATGGACCGTCCAGGGTAATTTTTTGAAGCGCGGCCTAAGGCCACCAACGCTGTCTTATTTATTTACTGTTATTGGGGTACTATCTGTTTTCTTTATTTATTTCCGTTCTATTCGTTTAGCATGCAACCGTTTTGCTTATACTGCGGTTTTGTTATTGTGTTAATAAATATTATAGAACAAAAAGTTAATGTTAAAATATAGCTATTTTTGCAGTATATAATGTAAAATAAATGTGTTCAAACGAGTTAGTGGAGTGTTAATGGAAAATGTAAGTGTAAAATACCATACACCTTAAATAGAAAAATATATATTCTAAATAGTTGAAATTTTCATGTTTAAACGCAAATATCTCGAGTAAAACATAAAAAGTGCGAAAAAGTGTTAAAATTACAATTCGGAATCAAAAAGATTCACATCTACCATATACAGCGTGGTTGAAAAGTTTCTATTTTCAAAGAGGATTAGCACTACTTGCTTAAATTTTGTTTTCTCAATTTAGTATATCTGTCTTTAGAACAAATGCAATATTTCATTGTCAATTAATTCTTTGTTTACAAGCCATTTGAAGTGTCAGAGTATTTTCATTGAATATCGCGCAATGATTAGGTTCTTTATTTTGAAAGGTTCAAAAGGAAATTTATGAACAATTGTTAGAGTATAAGGAGTCCTTACCTTCAAAACGAACCGTTGAATTTTGAGCTGGAGTAAACGCACTAAGCTTGTGAGACGATCCACGCGAAAGACGACCAAAACCACATCACCAGAATTTGAATCAAGTTCATAATATTGTAAGTGAAGATCAAAGTTAGACTAAGCGTGAAATGGTAATGACATAGGCATTTCAGAGAACGAGCACTTCATATTTACATGGAGAATTACATATGAAAAGCTGTTTGGAAAGTTGCGCTACAAGTTAACAATTCAACAAAATCTGGATCGAAAACAAATTCTCAATTTAAATAAAACAAGAACGCTTACAGTGGACTGTTTGTTCACTCAAAGCAGGTCAAGTCACAACGATCAGCAAAGAAGTTTTTTGATGCTAAAGGAATTTTGTTGATTGATTAACTGCGGAAAGAAAACAATCAACTCTGAATATTATTGCACCTTTTGGATCAGCTGGATGAAAAATGCGTGAAAAGACCTGGTTTCAGCATAAAATATAATGTTTCATCGAACAATGCACCTGCACACAGGTGTTTTAACAATGACAAATTCAACGAATAAAAGTACGAATTGCTCGAGCATCCACCGTATTCCCAGATTTGGCTCCCAGCGACTACTACTTCTTCAGAATCTGAAACAATTCCTTCGTGAAAAGCGTTTTTCGTCAGATGAAGAATCTGTTACAGTCGTGGACGGATATTTTGCAGAGCTTGGGAAAGTCATAACTGCGAGGATCATTGGAATAAGTGTATTGAAGTTGGGAGATTATATTTAAAAATAGATTTCGTACCAAAACTACAATATAGTATTTTTCATTTCGAGCGCGGAAACTTTTCAACCAACCTGTCTCTATACTAATATTATAAATTTGAAATAAGTTCGTTGGCTGTGCTTTCACGTCGAAACCCTTAACCAATCGTCATGAACATTACACATATTAGGGTGTTTATAGACTTTGAACTTTAAATTACAAAACAACGATGGATTATTAATTGTTGGATTGACATGATTTTTATTTATCCGAAGGATAATCTAGTGGCATTACATTTTAAATATGATTTCTGGTATACGACGCCACGGCTGGCTCGGATGTATCAATCAGGACGTCCAATTTTCGATGACTAGCAATGCATGAAAA